AGTTCAGACGTGTGCTCTTCCGATCTCCCCAAAACCCCAAAACCCCGTCCATCTGTGAATGAGATTCAGTGATAAACATTCATTTAAAAATATAAATAATATATTATTCTATGCATTCTTCTTCTCAGAGAATCCTCCAATTAACTTTTATTTTATTATTTTGCTCATGTTGGGCATATGAAACTCTAAAAGTTAACAAGGATAGTCATATGTACTTACTCGAAGAGTATACTAATGACTTCAATAAAGATGCAAGCAACATAGAACAACAAAAAATTCAAAACAAATAAATCAATTAGATCGTTTCACTAGTCTCATTTGAAAACGAATCTAATTCTCTATCATTAGAAACTTAAAATATGCTAGTTTCACATCAAGAGACTAAATAAAATACCTTCAGTGAGATTGAAAGGGAAACTATTTCAAGTTTAAGGGAAGGAAAAGATCAGAATCCTAGAAAAGAGGCTAATAATTTCATTTAAAATCCTAAGGAAGCTTCTTATTGCGAATCCAATTCAAATGATATATTAAAAATTATTAACAACTAGGATATTAAAATAGACTGTGATCATTCTTCTTTCATACATATCCTAACTCAAATCCCTAACTTGAAACCCCTAAAACATACCTTAAAGTAGTAATAAAATCTCATAACTAAAAAAGACTAGATGAGTCAATAGCAACAGGATTCATCAAAATAACAGAGAGTTGCAATAAATTAAAATATTGAGGTAGAAAGTGAAAATCTATGATATAGCAATGAAATGGATACTACCTTGATGACAATTAATAGACAAAATTAAAATAAATTATTAGTGGATCAGCTATAACATCAGCATCAAGAATATTCTTAAGATTTCTAGATTTCTGATAAGATAAGTTTGGATTCATTAAATTAAGAACCCTCAAATTCAGAATACGAGAATAACTTTTAATAATATCTTTCAAAAGAAGATTGGTAAAAAAATCACAATAATATTCTCGCAATTCATCAAAACATGTCTTCGATCGGAATGAATAATTAATCTTTCTAGGTCTTTGATATTAGATCCAATGAGGCTTTAATAACCATACTAAACTTAGAGAGAGATTAAATTAGCAAAATGTAACATAACTTCATCGAGGGAATTTTCTAGTGGATTTCCCCCATTTATATCCAACTAACAATTTCCATAGCCTTAATTTGTGCCCTCGCCTTACTCTTTATATTAGTCATTGTGCATTTTATCAGAAAGTATCGTCTTCTCAAAGCAAAATATGAGATGCTTGAGAGACAAAACAGAGAGTTGAAAGATTAGAATAGTATGCTAGCTCGCAGTAATAACTCTGAAGCCTTCGAATCAAATTAAATACCTAGAGTTAGATCATTCGATTTCCTACAAGATCCGATCTTAATAAGTGTCAAGGCACCCTTCGAATTTAGTAGCCAAGAAACTTTTGAAGAACCTCTTTTGGAGGAGCAAGGGAAATCTCTATAAGGATTGGATTAAAATATAATTTAGTAAATTGAAGATAACGAGGAGGAGTATCATTCATTTATTGAACAGTTCTAAGAGAGTCCTATTCATAGAACAGATATCTCTGATAATCCAAGAATCGAGAACTTGACTTCAACACCAAGAGATAGAGTCAAGTCCTTTGAGAACTATCAAGGAACCCCTCTGCATCAGCATCTGTTTATTGAAGGAGTCAATGACTTAGGTTATTAAAGTTCATAACAATAGTAACACGAGTTATTCACCCCTAATAGAGATAATTTTAATGTCAGCTAACCCTCTCTTTAAAAATCGAAGAGTTCTTAACCTAATTATGATGGTATGATGTAGTATCAAGATTTCCCAGCATCTTATGGTGAAGTGCAATAAAAGTTTATCAACTTCAAAAGTCCAATTCATGTTGAAGATCAGAATGATCCTTGCAACATCAGATTTACTAATTATAACTAAAAGGTTAATTGCTAAAGAGATCTCTTTGGAATAAACAATCAAGTTCCTGCTCTTGATTTGGGCAAGATTAAGAGCTCTTTCGTTTGTTCAAATGAAGATAAGGATTTCCAAGTGAATTTGAACAACTATTCAATGAACATTAGAAATAGATATTCTGAAGATCAGTAAGAGTACAATACAAGATCCTTCAATGAGTAGCAAATGAATTTCAGAGGAATTCATACTGAAAGAGGATAAATTTAAAGAAATAGACAGATGTCCTAGTAGAAATTTGGAAGTAGCATCCCTAGATTTGTGAAACTTCCTGAATCACAATATTAGAGAAACCAGGTCAGTAACTTCAGATAGTAGTAATCACTTAAGCAAAAAACTTTTTCATTGGGCAGAAATACTACCTACCATCAACAATTTGTTCAACCAAGACCAACCTACTAAAATATTCAATAAAATAATCTCTACTTGTAGTACAACTTTTAGAATCAGTATCATCAACAGCCGATAAACAGAGTTCAATCTCCTTAAATCCAGCCAATGGTAAGATCCAGAGGATCCTTTAATTCTAAGAATGAGAGACCAATTACCAACTAATCTTAATGTCAGACTTAACCACAACAAATTCACCAATAAATAAATGAATTCTAGACTGACAATGGCCTCTTCAACTCTTTTAACAGCAATAACCCTTACGGTAACTATTGCAACAATAGCATCCATTCTAATGACCTCTAAAATCATGATCATCAGTCACTTGACTTTCATTAATTAATCAGATCGCCAATTTTAGGCTATCAAAACTTTGATGAAAACATAATGAGAACTTTTTCGGCTTCTCCTAAATATCAAGAATCAGATCGCATAAAATATATAAATGTAGTAGACTAGAATAGCTAAAACTTTAATTATGACTAACAATATGATGAGGAAATCATTCTTGAAAATCGCTATCATGGTCTGAATAAAATCAATACTAAATCAATCTTCAGTGAAAGATGCTATTCTCAAGAAGATGAATATGAGAACGATAATAACTACCCTTGCTTAGTTTATCTTGAAAATGGAAGGTACAGAAATTCTTTTGAAGAGATAAATTTCTTGGGCAAAGGTGGGTTTGGTGTTTGTCACAAGGTGAGACATAGACTAGACTCAAACTTTTATGCTATTAAAAAGATTAGAATGCACTTAGCCTTTGATCAAGACATTAAAGAGCATAAGGTCTACAGAGAAATAATGGCACTTCCAATGTTAAATCATAAAAATATAGTCAGGTACTTTGGATGTTGGGCTGAAAGAGTTGCTAAAAATGAAGAATTGCTAATCGAAAAAAGAGTAAGAGAAATTCAAAAGAAAATAAAAGAACAAAGCAATCTTAGAAATAAGAGAGGCAAAAATAATCTGGCTATTAAAACAGCAAAAAAGAACTTAAAAAGATCAAAAGGAAGTGAAAACAAACAGAGTTCATCTAAAAAATTCATCAAACTTAACTAAAACGATGAGCAAGAGGAACTATTAGATGAAGCATGTGATAATTAATCTCAAAATTCAGTAATAGAAAAGCTATCAGATACTAGCAATGAATAAGATGATGAATCAATTAATGATGATGAAAGCTATCAGTTTGAAGATAGTGAATAAGATGAAAATGACAGTGAGAATGATTCTAGCGAGGAAGATGGATCTGATGGAGAGAAAGTTTAAAACAGATCTCGTCTTAAAAAATCATTCATTACATCTGAGTATGATGATGAGGATGGAGATGATGTATCAGAAATAAGAGAGGACTTCTTCGAGAACGATCAAAATGATTTAATAAATGATGATAGTCAAGCAAATATTGGGCTGTTTGATGATGATGCATTATTCGAGTTCATTAGGAAAGATTAAAAGTTTATATCGATTGACTTGATGATATAAATGGAATATTGTTCTGGTTAATCTTTACAAGATACACTAGAGGATCCTCATAGACTGATTGATAGCTAAAAGAACTTTCTGTATTTTAAGTAGATACTAAGTGCTGTTAAACATATTCATTAGAATGGCCTTATCCACAGAGATCTTAAACCTGCCAACATATTTATTGAAAGTAATGTACTAAAAGTTGGAGACTTTGGTCTTGCTAGAAAATTCTAAAGAAATCATTAAAGATTAGATGCTATTGAAGAAGTGATTGGCAATGCAAACATGAAATCTCCAAAGATAAAAAAAATTAGTCAAAAAGGTTTGAAAAAGCTTGTTAAAACACTCTCTTAGTAATCTCTCCTCACTTCACATGTGGGTACTAGTACATATCTCAGTCCTGAATAAGAATAAGATAAGCCATACAATGAAAAAGTTGACATTTTTGCTCTAGGCCTAATTCTTTGTGAATTATGTTGCAAATTTTCAACATCCCACGAGAGAATCGCTACTCTGAATGACCTGAAACAAAAGGGAGTAGTGCCAAGTAAAGTTAGATACGAATTCCCCATCGAGGCATAAATCATGCTATTAATGGTAAATAAAAACCCAGACGAGAGACCAAGTGCCATTGAGCTCCTCAAGCATCCTTTAATGAACTAATGGGCAATGTTATTCTCCTCATTTATTGTGTCCCCTCGAGATTAAATTTAACCTTTAAACTAAGAAGATTATCATAACTAAGGTAACATTAGTAACTCAGAGGTTAATGAGGAAAATAATCACGGAAGTCTGAATATGATAATAGAAGAGCAAATTACCTAATCTCAGCAAAGAACTTCAAATAACTAAGATAGTATCAATAACAGCTTCTGCATTGAAAACTTAAACAAAAATATTTATGCCAAAGGTAAAATGATAAAGGTCAATTCTATGCTCATCAAAGATTCTAGATTACTTGATTCTTAGCCAGTAGATTGATATAATGGATGATATGTAGTGCTATTCTAAGATAGTATCAAAATGTTCCTAATACTTTAGAAGGAATATTGTTAACAATAATATCAAGTAGTCTAATGATGACTATTACTTAAAAGATTTATCTTTTCTAATTCACTTAACACCAAAATAAAACCAATAAAATATATTTTCTTTTTCTTGCTTCTGGGGTTTTGGGGTTTTGGGGTTTTGGGG